AATTTTTGCCTTTCAACGCTTACTAAAACAACTCTTAATTGATAAAAAGCAAACTGACTTTCTGGAACTCTTGAAGTAGTTTTATAGAATTTTATTGGGAAATTATGGAGTAAAAATGCAACCAACAAAACTTTTATTTAAAAAAAAAAAAAAAACACACAACACAATTGTGAGGTAAAGTTATTATTATTATTATATTAAGACATGTAGCTTAATTTGAATTTTAAACGGTATCATTTTGGAAAGGCTAACGGCCAAATGGGGGGGATTTTCACTCCAATTCTTTGAAGCTGATTGGGTAAATCACCAAGTGGCCTCCCATGTTAAGTATTTAACCAATCACAGCAACAGTAGCAGCTGTGATGTATCACATTCTTGATTAGTGTCACAACTAGCAAAGTTAACCGATAAATCAAATCTTACCAAATCTGATTGGGAGGGACATTTTCTCATCTGCAAATGAACAAAAGACATTCTTTTGCTTCTTTTTCAAAAAAGAAATGGAGATATTCCAGCTAAAACAGACTGAAGAGCAGAGTCTACAAGGTACATCCATTGGGGCGGCCATGTTTGTTTTGCTTCTGCTTAACGTCATAGACATCACTGCATTTTAATGTTTCGAAACATTTCTGTTTTCAAGGCTAAGGGATCTATTGGATTCTGGCCCGATGTATTTTCAGGATCTCGAGGCAATTCATCTTGCATGCAAAGCAATTATTGGTCAACGAGGAAAATGTAGAAAACCTTAAAATATAGTTAAGTTACAGTATAAATCACTGTCCCGAGCTTTAAACGTCTGACAGAACACTGTTTAATTTACCATACAAAAACGGAAAGGGCAAAAAACGGCAAAATCTACCAAGACATGACTGTCAACGTACACTAACAGCCTGGGCATGGAAGGCATGTATCAGAGGAGAAAAAGACAGCCATGGTAACTCTAAAAGAGCAACAGAAATCCATAGTTCAGTGGGAGAATCTATTTATATGACTTTAAGACTCCAAATATATTGTTTTATGGCAGAAAAGCAAGAATAAATCAGTAGTTCCAAGACAGGCTCATTCGCCATGTAGAGGCAGAACACTTCTGTCTTCTTGAACCCCAGTCAGCCTCGACTACATCACCCATTCAACTTTGACCCTAACACCTTCATTACATCAGAAAATGCTGATTTTCACTAGTTTTTAGAGCAATTTTCTCAACTGTACTGTTACATCCACATTAAAGATGCAAAGAAGATTTAAATTCAGAAACAGGTGAAAGGACTGTATGGGCTATATGGCTCCAGGGATAAATTTGGATATTACTCTGAAATGATTTGTTCTTTGTTGTCCCCAATTCAAAACAAACAAGCAATCCTTTATGTTATTCTTATTTTCCGAAGAAGAAAAGTTACATTCTCTATGATGTTTCCAGCTTCTCGCTTGAACCTCCTATCACTCATTGTAGAATAATCAGCTGTTATGGATATCAGTATTTAATCTACCTGAATCCCTTTCTTGCAGAAGAACATAAACATCTTAACTCTAATGTTTAAAACATTTAAGTAATTTAAGATTAAAAACTCCAGGTAGTGTTTAACACTAAAATATTTCTCGGAGACCCATTTGGTAATAATAGATGTCTTTTCAAGCTTTCTGTTTTTGCATAATATCCACTAAAACAACTCACAACATTTAAGTGACCAAGAAAATGGTTACATTATACTATTTACTGAAAACTGTCAACCTTCGGTCAATTTTGAATTTAATCAAATAAATCAGAATAAGTCATGCCTTTGTGACAGACTGATGGTAAATAATAATCTAAATAATCAATTTAAAATGTATTATTTGCTTTACAGTCTGTCATGTAACTGAAAACGATGATTTATTATATTATTTGTTGAATGCAGGAGCTTTTTATGTTTGAATCACTTGTGAAGCAGAGTCTGGCTTAACAAACAATTGTTAAAGAATTTGGGGGTTCAGAGGAAAAACATCTGTCTCTTAGGAGTTTTGCACCATGCTATTTGCATATCTAAACATGAGATTTGAGATTTTTTTTGTGTTGTTTTTCAAGTTTGGATTGCTCTTACATATTTCCCATCATCCTATGATTAACTGTAACCAGGAACACCAGACTATTTCAAAAAAAAAAAAAAAAGGAAGTAAAACTTTTTTCCAAAGTCTGCTCTTTTAGAATTCTATGGAAAATGTAAGATGCTATTGAGAAATTACAGCAAACATCTCTGAGGAAGACAGAACCAGGCATCTGATCCCAGACCCCAAAATTCTTTCCTTTGTCTAGACAACATGAGTAAACTGTCCCATTGAACCTTATGATTCCCTGATAACATGGAGAACTTTGGCGAGCCAAATCTCTGTGCTGCTTCTGAGACATTCCTTGTAAAAGTCAACTAAGCATTTCTAATATTGACTCATATAATCATCTACTTATGTTTCGTTATTGTAAATAGTAATTAACATGAAGCTTAAAATGTGCCCACAGTTGATGCTAAACTTATCAGAGTAATTATTTTGGTAAAATCAGGAAAGATTCTGACTATTCAAAGCAGGTTTGGATCAGGGCGGAAAAAAATTAAGCTGCAAGCAGAAACATCTGTTCATTTCTTCTTGTTAATCCAGAATAACATTTAAAATCCTCCTTTTCATGTATAAAGCTCTAAATAGGGGATCTTCACTCTGTATCGCCAGGTGTATGTAGAAGGGGAGGCAGGTCTTTCAGTTATCAGGCCCCTCTCCTGTATCAATTGCTTGATTGACAGACTGGCTTTAAGAATGGAACCAACTATGGGTTTAGGTCCATGAGGCAGATACACTTTCTACTCCTACCTTCTCTATTGATAAATCTTATAGTTGGATTGACTCAGGTTATCCTGAGCTATCTCTATAGTTATGCTGCTACATGCTTAGACTGATGGAAGACATAAGGACCCCTTTTTCATCATTCTGCTTCATTCCATCTCTATTCTCCCATTCAGCAATCTGTTAGCTCAACCTGTAACTTTATGTTCGCTCTGCTTTTTTCTGTCAAAGTAGCTTCATTTCGTTGGTTCCAGTTCAGCTGTGACACCATCATAGAGGGCAATATCCGCTGTTCTGGTGACATAAACACCTTTGATTAATGATGATAGAGTTTGGCTTTTTTTATTGTTTGGTCCCGTTTCTCTCCTATTGGCTCAACTTTTACTCTGACTAACTCTATGTGGTCCCTTCATCCGCCTAACATGTAACCTGGCTCTGAGCTCATTTGATTAACCGTTTGTTTCCAGAACAGATCATGCATGCTCTGTGTGAGGCGATTGCTGAAGAGTCAACGACAAAATGCAACTAAATATATCTACTGTCACCACATGCTCACCTACATGTAGGAGGAATATGTCCAGCAAGTCAATGACTCAATGCAATCAGCTGGTTTTTAAACTGACTGCACTATCTGATTGATTTGTCTCTGTAAAATTCCATGAGATGTTGTGTTGTGATTCAGTGCTATATAAATGAACTGAATTGAAAAAAACAATTCAGCCCAAACCTTCAGATAGACATATATACATTTTTATTTTGTATACTAAATATTGTAAACTGTTTCTTTCAGAACCTTGAATTCTTTGATTTCTTTACCATTTATGATCAGCCACTTGCAAATGTTTTTAGGGGAGAGGTTTCCTGGACAAAGGAGGTGCAGAATTTTATATCCAATTATGATAGATAACAAATCATAAGTTTTTGATAATCTAACAATGTATTTGATGTCTTCCTTTTCATGGTTGGATGCTTTTGTACAATAAAACCTGAAACATAGCTCACATGAACTTTAAAAACAATCAAAGATTGCTCAAATTTAAATTGTATGTATCTTTCCTTTAGTCTAATATATACAAACACGATGATACATTATGATGGGTTTTAGGGATTTATGACTTAAAACAACCAACTGCAAAGTTTGTCCCAACTCAAGCGAAATGTCCACAAAAGAGGCAAAGAGATAAGTACTGATGTACAACGAAAACTTCAGACCTCTTATCCATGTTTTTTATATAGATAAGCAGAGTTCCTTTTTTAGAGAGCCTTCTATGGGCAGAGGAAACAATGTTTGAGCTGTCTGATCACAATGGCAAAAAGGATGTTTGAATGAGTCAGGGAAAGACTGGAAAAACACTGAACCACAAGCATGAGGGTGGCAGCATCATATGAGGGTCAAATTGTAGAAGGTGGGTAGAAGGATTGCCTTCATATGTTTTTAACTTTACATCATTAAGGTTCTAAAGAAGCCTAACTTTTAGCATATTGGAAATTTGGTAAAAAAAAACAAACAAAAAAACCCCCAAAAAGGGTCAGGAAAAAAATCTAATAATTTAAAAAGAGCAGTAAACCACATTCATGCCTCAAACTTGTAAAAAAGTTGCAAAAAGCAGGAGTTCCTCTGCATCTTGTTATAAGACAAAGCTGTTTGCATATATTTGAGCTTGTATGTACCATTTTTACTTCTTGTGTATTAGAGAAAATGTACAACAAATCTAAACTATATGGAAGTTGTATGTTTCATAATCGAACAGAGCACGTATGTAAACTTATGACTTAAACTACTTTAGGCAGTAGTAAACAATTTGTAGAGTCTAAATTTGTTGTTGGTTATCAGTATTAAAAAGCATTATTAGCAAAAGACAGATTCCTTTATACTGGAAGCTAAAAAAAAAAAATCATATTCGGTTATTTTGAAACATCTGTTAGTATTTCAAGCATAATTTTATAAAAGGATGACAGTTAATCATTTTTGTTTTGTTTTTATCCAAATCATAAAAACCTGGAAAATCCTTTGAACTGCATGACAGGATCATAAAACTAAACAAATCAAGAAACCGGAAAACCACAAGTTTTGCCTTTACGGCTAAATAAAGTATCTTTTAAGAAGAAATTAGATTTTACAGCATGAATCGACTTGCCATGGTACGTTTCCTCATGTTATCCAAGAGTTTCTGTATTTTCTGCCATCTTACCTCCAATTGCACTGCATCTGGAGATGATCTCCCACAGAACCAGAGCCATTGAGTAAACATCTGCCTGCTTGAAAGACTCAATGTTTTCCAGATTGATTCTGGACTCCAACACCTCAGGAGCCATGTATCTGGCCGTGCCCACCTGGGAGAAATCAGACAAACGCAGAGATCTTTACGGCTGAAATTCCTCTCTTCTCTGACTTTTGTTGAAGAATGCTTATTAAGTAGTGCAGTTTTAATCTGTAGTTGCTGTAAATGTGTGACATGTAGACCCTTTGTACCTTTGCATTCATCCCTACACATTTATTTCAATCAAAAAGATGACTGACATAAAGCATAATTAAAAAGCAAAATGTGTCCCTAAGCTTGTCAATGCGGCACTTCTGTATAATATCATTACCATCTACATGTATTAAGAGCATTAAAGAGCATTAGCTGTGCTGGGATGCCTATGATGAGGCGTTAATGAAAAAACAAAAACAAAATTAGCCGTTATGTCAGAAAACTCAGTCCTTTGAGATTCAATCCATATGGCTTTAAAAGAACAACCTGAAAATGCTCCTTAGGAAATGACAAGTTGATTATCTTTCCTAAATCTTCCTCAATGCCAAACAACTTACCCTGGTGTAAATGTCTATACAATTCTGCTTTTTTGTTTTAGTAATTCTGTTTGTTTTGTTAAGTTTTTCAAAAACATTCAAGGTATTTCCTTTTGAGTGTATTTATAATAAGACCTGGGAAATTAAGTGAGCATCTTCTAATTTTCTTTGAAGGCTATCAGGGTAAACAGGACTGAAAACACTTCTTTGGTTTTTATTTAACATTTTTTAAAGCTTAGCATCATTTTCCTTTAGCTTCACAATTATAGATTTTTTTGCACTGGTGCATACCATTCAATCCCTACAAAATTGGAAATAAAGGTGTGCAAAGTGTTAAAAAAGTTCAAGATGTATGAGACCCTTTGCTGGATAATGTATTGTTTAGTAAAAGGGAAACAGTTCTAAGCCAGAAATGTGAAACAGAATCATAATCTGAGGATTAGAAGGTCTTACCTGTCCACTGTTGGCCAGTTCATCTACAGACAAAGTGTTGTCCAGCCGGAGTGCGAGGCCAAAATCACATAGGCAGCAGGTCATGTCCTGTTTCACAAGTATATTGGAGCTTTTAATGTCCCTGTGAGCAACTGGAACTTTGCAGCGGCCGCAGGAGGTGCGTTCACTATGAAGGTGTGCCACAACGCTCGCCAGCGAGCTCCCGAGAAGCCACATATCATGCCAGGAGATAACGTGATTGGTTAGATACTCTTGAAGGTTTCCTAGTGGATGGTAAGCTGTGATTAACCAGTACTGCCTCTGCCCCTTCCTCTCCTCCGCTGTCAGGAAGTGAAGCACGTTCTCATGCTTCAGGTCGGCGTCTGAGAAAATGTCCTTCTCGTTCTTCCAGGAGGCATACTCCTCGTACTGGAAAATCTTAACCGCCACCGTCTCAAAGCGGTGCTCCTCGCTCACTGAGGAGCCCTGCCTCAGCTTGGCTTTGTAGACCTCTGCAAAACGGCCCTTACCGACCAGAACGTCCAGCTCGATGGGCAGCAGCTCGGTGTTGTGATTCAGGTTATTGGCGAGTTGCGAGCTGCTGTCTGAACCTTCTTCAGCTATGATGGCCCGCTGGTCGCTGAAGTCCCTCGGCTGACCCTTTTTACGTGGGTTTTGCTGCTGACGGTAAACCCGGTAGGAGTAGAAGGAAGTGATGACAACAATGGCTATGATCAGAGGAGGCACCAGGCTGACAAGCAGGGCGGATCCAAGTGGAGATTGCACCAAAGGTTCTAATGAGATAAAATGATGAAAATTACATAAGAAAAGCATTGATAACCAGGACAAGAACACAGATACACAGCTACAAATGAAGAATTTTCTGGCTAAGTATAACACTTTAAGTTGATATTATCAATATCTTATTTAACAACTTCAGTTTGAAACTACAGAATTTAATATACGTTTAGCAATAATTGATAAATGCATCTATACAGTCAGTTCAAATGTAGAAATTTAAATTTCAGGTTTATTTCGTGGTGTAAAACACTGAATAATTCGCTTCAATGCTTTTACCACTTTCAATGTAACACATTCTACATCCTTAACACGTCAACAATGAAACAAGAAATTATTTTGGGATGCTAAATGTAAAAAGTGGAAAAAAAATACATAACAATTAGAGTAAAACCATAGAGAATGCTGTAAAAAGAAGAGTTGTTTTTGTGTTGGATGTACATAGAAACTTTGTTCTTTTTGGCCACTAAATTACGTTTCATTTAAAGTCGCCCAAATCTTTTTTTTTTTTTATTGCATTGAGAACCTTCACCTAAGGAAATACTCTGACATTCATTTTCCTTTTATCTTAATATAATGGCCATGATACAGTAAGATTTAATTGAAGTCTCAAAAAATATGCAAAGTCGGAGGGGAGATCCAGCCAATCACCAGCGATTAGGAGGGAGTGCAGCAGTGGGACCGTGGGTAAAATCAATCAGCTTATTGAATTTAGGATTATCTGCACCGCTGCTCTACACAGAAACAATCTGAACTTTACAGGAAGCAAAGTTGTGAATTATGGACGTATAAAGGGATACGGCATGTTTATTGATAGAATAAACTGAAAACAAAATGATTTGTCTGATTACTTCTAACAATGTCTGACATCGCTAAGACCACAGCTGGGTCAGTCTGAGGACATGTTGGAAGCGTGCACCGCCTCACGTAGACAGAAGCAGATTGGGAGCATGTAAAAGGAGGACAACTGAAACAAAGACTTTGAAGACTGAGGCTGAAAAAGTTGATAAAATCAGTGATATATCTGAGGTGTGTAAAGTATTGGAAAAACCTCACAAGTCTGTGCAAGAGCTCTTATCAGATGGGGAAAAGGAAAAGAACAGTTATGACTGGTATGAACCAAGAAAAGCAAACCTGTTGTAATTCATGAAGGATTTTGAAAGTTGAGTATTTTCACAATAAAAAAAATTGGACAGATGGACAGTTTCCAAATAGATTACAATTCACTTCCACTGGAAAAAATAACTAAGTCATCTTCGAAGTTAAAAAAGGCCAATGAAGAGGTGGCCATTACAATGGCACAGGCTGCTACATTAAAGAAAAACTTTACAAATAGAGGAAACAAAACTAAAGTTAACGGTGTAACAAATAGAAGTAGAAGCAGACCTTATAGCATCAACAGTTGAGATTGAAAACTCTGCAAAGCGATGAGTCAGACCAGGTGAAACATATATGAGGAGAAAAATAAGGCGATGAATTCTGGCTCATCGCATAGTAAAGATGGTCACTTCATTTGAGTAAAACAGACAAGGTCATGCTCAGTAAATAAAATACAGTACAAAGCATCTTATTAAGTATTTGGAAAGGATGAAGAGGAAAACAAACGTTTCCATCATGGAGGAGACATTTAAAAAGGGCTTCATAGAAAAGATGCATCTTCACATTCCCAACATCCACTGGGTTTAAGAATGCATCCAAAATTCTAGAAACTTTTACACAGAAGTTGTTGCTAAATACAAGGTCAAGTCTCTTTTTTCGATGTATACATAACAAAGATAAAGAAAGAGAAGCTAGACCCCTGCATACTTATTTTCAAACCATAATAATAGTTATGACTGAGAAGTTCAGACAAATACGTCTCTGTCTATACTGTAGTAACCATTTCAGTTTTAATGTATATCATATATAGCTGAAGAACAGAAAATCAAAGAGACTAAACTATTTATATTGAGTTTGTAGATGTTTGTGTTTTTGCCAATTTAGTCAGGTTTTACTCTGTTCGGATTAATCCTTAAAACCAATGTTGATGTGCATAGCTTTCTTATTGTTGTCCTAACTTTGCTTGTAGCGCCACTCCTGACTGTACTTTGCCATTTGTTTTCATCCTAATTCACACTGCATGGACACTGATCCGCTCTGCTGCTTGGCCTGGAGGTGCTCAGACACGCATGCATGGATCATGCACTAAAAGCCAATGATTAATGTAGAGGTCAGACCAAGACCCAGAACCACCATTAAACTGCTTTACTTCACTATTTTATTCTTTATTTTCCTTTTGACACAGTGTGATCTGTGTAGATTGACTCCAAACTCTGATATCCCAAAATGTTGGTAGATGGTGGAGGCCCTGTGGAGGCTGTAAATGATTATTTTTATGACTGATTATAATTGGTGAGCCTTTACCTGACACAGTTTAAAATGTGAGTGAGGACCTTTTGTTAATGTGCTTTTTGGGCTACTAATTATTCATTGGATTCCTGCTGCATGGACCTTTTGGTTTTAATTAACATTTTTTTACTAAAAATCATTATCTGCTAGTATTTAAATAATCATAACAGTAGATTGTTTACATCATTTCAATTAATGATAACTTCTAAATACTTTTTATAATGTGTTAATATGATGCATAAGCTCTAAAACCTTTGATAAAATGGATATTTAACTAGTGAAAATTAAGTTTTTTCTTTGTAACATCATTTGTAACATGATCTAATGGGGCTCAATTATGCAGGTGTGACTTTTCATGAACTTACTGCTTTTCCCCTTATTTTGAAAACTACTGTATGTCCCTTTTAGAAGCTTTTGACACTAATATGTTTATCCCAGTTATGATACGTCTCATTTAATTTTTAGATGACCTATTTAGATTAGTTTGTGGCAGACTCATTTGTCCAGCTAAGAGGATAATATTCTTAGAGGAACTGCTCCTTGCTTGTGGAATGTCCATTTAAGTTACCGTCTGGACCGCAGATCTAAAAACAACTCGAGATCCTGACCCAGTCAACCACATATTGTACCTCTTTATAGAATTTGTTGTATTTTTGTAAGTTGGTAGAGGGTGTGTCTGGAACAGAATTTCCAAACGACACCAGCTCAGGATTTTAGCTGCATTTAGAGAAAACTTTGAAAGCTGCAGGTAACTTTTCCACTTTAATCAGGGTCACAATTACTTTAAATATTCTTTACCAAGATATATTAATATCTTGATTCTATTTTTTACTGATTCAAACTGAAAGTGAAGAAACATGCATCAACATCTTGATTTGTCAAAATAACTGACAGTAAATCCTTTCTGGAGGTGACTATAAGACAAAAGCCAGAAGTCTGGTTGAACAAGGTAGGATGATGAATGTTAAAGTCATCTTGCTGACTGCCTAGACCAAGCCCTCCAGCTCTATAATTTTTTTTCTTTTTTTTCTAAACAGGAAACCACATGTCTGAAATCCTCTGCAGGGCCCCAGACAGACAGTTTGTTTTGATTTTCTTAGAGTGAGACACTTTTCTCACAACAACTTGTCACTGTGCCTTCCAACGCAAAGGTCTGTGCAAAACCTTATAACCTAAGTTGTTTTTTGTACATGTTAATGTAACAAAACAAAACATGAACTATAAAAATTAAAGATTTCTAAATAAGAGAATTCCACCCTTAGAGAGTAGAGATCGAGTTTTGTGAATGCATCCCAAACTTACATGTGTTAAATGTATAAAACATAGGATGATTAAAAACACTTTAACTTACTAAATCTCTAGAATGAAAAAGATGAAATGAACCTAAAACCCCTTAAACAGACTTTAATCTCTTCCATGTTCATGCAAACCTTGTCCAAAAAACGTGAAAACAATCTCCCTAAAACACATCTCAAGTTATCACTTGATCTATTTAGAGGAAATGTTGAAATAAAACAGCGTGAGTAAAGATGTAAGCAAGAGACCATTTGACAGCTGCACTCTCTCCAGTACTAGCTGCAGTGAATTCCAGTAATTACAACAGAAGATTGCTGTTTTATAGCTCTTCAAGGCACGACATTCTTTGAATACTCTGAGTGATTGCTAAAGAATTTTTAGTAATGGGGTCTCAAATGCCTAACATTTTAGAAACATCAATCTTGAAAACAACCAACCATTGCTACATTATTAACAGTTATGCACCCAAATAGTTTTGACACAGAGGGTCATTCCAAAGACTTTTGAAGCAATGGTTCATTTTAGTTGTTACTTTTCTAACTTTCTGTAGCAGCGAGATGCTCAATGTTGTTAAAGCGAGCTAAGGAGGAATAGAAAAACAGTTTCATCTGTTATTTCAGGTTTCAAGCCTGCAGAAAGGAGCGATAGCCTTACAGTATGCCTGCTCATTGTGCATCAGGGAACTCTACTGTAATTGCTACGTTTTTTTTTATTGTTCTCAGCTTAGGTGGAAAAGCCAGATAATGCTGGGGGAAAAAAAAACAACAACCAAAAAACAATAGATGAACTAATAAAGCAGCCCACTAAAAACCATTTAAGATATAGCATTAGTTATCACATCCACAGAGAAAATTGTCAAAATTAGAAAATGTAATATTTTAAACAAATCAAATAAAACTACGGGATGCTATTAGCTGGCAAAAATATAACCCAAAAAATGTTGTATTTTACTTTATGTTACCACCCTACAGCTGTGTTATGTTAATGTAGAAAACATTCAAAAGATCTATGTCTCTTTCCAAGTAAAACAGAAAGTTAGGTTAATGTGAAAGTAAACATGCCGTCAGTTTCACCTTCACCTACGACTGGACGAAATGACAACAACTTTGTTTAGGATATATATTTCTTAATTTGGGTCAATACGATATAGTACTAATATTGATATAAACATCATAAAGGCCTCAGAAGAAAAAAATCCCATGAAAGAATTCTGAAAAACTCCTGAACATTAATGTGCCAAGTACATGAAAATACTTCAATATAACATTTTTGAAATTTTTTTGGGGAACTACAAGCTCAGATGAAATGCACA